GTTTCTATAGAGATCAAATATTAGAACACTACAATGAAAGCTCTTTTTACTGTAGGTGACAGATTTTCACCAATCCCTGAGCAGAGGTTCATTTAAATTAGGTAGTGTTGATTTTGCTTTGTCTCTAATTTCCAGTGTTAAGTTAAAAAACACAAGGGCCCTCCCTGGTGGTGCAATGGGTTAGCACTGCAAGGTAGCCAAAGCTGCTTCAGTATGAGTTCGATCCCCATTCCGGGAAGTAATCCACATGGCTCGGCAGGCCTCTTCTGTTTCACCTGCTGCTCCCCTCAGCCGTGTACTTCGTTGGTCTGCCTGCTCTGCTCCCCACTCTCCCCACTCTCTGATGAATCCTCTCACCATCTCTGCACCTCTGGCCGGTACCCCAGTCCTGTATGAATATTTCTTAAAAAAAAAAAAAAAAAGAAAGAAAGAAAGAAAGAAAGAAATTTTTTAATCAAGAGCAAATCATCCATTAGGAAGATAAATTATTTTGTAATGAATGCAATTTCATTCCTTACAACATACTTCATGTTAGCAATGCAAAGTTAACTCCCGCATGAAATTATTATAGGGCCGGTTCGCAGCCTTAGATTTGAGTTTCAGTTTTCTTGTTTGCCAATTTATTTTAAGTCTGTAATAGTGTGTGACTCAAGAGTGAATAATTGATGACAAGTGAATTGTTTACATCTGCATGCGGACGGCCTATAGGGGCCGGTCAATAACTGCTCAATTGAGCAAGGGCCGACTGCAGGACTTGTCTGTTGATCATCTAACAGAAGACTTTAAAAGAAAGAAAGAGGCCCTCCCTGGTGGCACAGCGGGTTAAAGCATAGCACTGGGAAGCTTAAGCCACTTCCACATGAGTTCGATTCCCGCCTGCCCCGGAGGAGATCCACATGGCGAGGCAGACCTCTCCTGACCCGCCCGCTGCTCCCCCCAACAGTGCACCTCCCCAAGAGTGCTGCCCTACTGGGCTCCTTGCTACTGTCCTAAAATTGTCACCCTTTACTCCAAATCACGTGCTTGTATCATTTAAAGTCTGTGGATTTTTTAAATGGTAAAAAGAAGGGAAATTGAACAACAACAATAAAAAAGTGGAGCAAGTAGAAAACAACCAGCTAGTAGACACATTATCAACAATAATAATACATTTAAATCATCTTAATATCTCAAATTAAAATGCAAAAATTATCTGATTGCATATTAAGGATTAAATCACCTGTGGGAGCAGCATCATTCAGAACAATCAGTACCCGCTGAGTGATGGAGTCTGAAATCAAACACTGGAAAATTAGCCTCACCTGTTTTGAAAAATCCTTAATGGAACTAGTGATGGGGAGAGAAGGGGATGAAATCCCCCACTTTTCCTTACTTACAAAGTACATTCTCACCACTGACATCCCATTTAAGTGCTTCAAGCTGTTATTAAAGAACTATATATATAGTTCTTTATATGTATAGTTCTTTATATGTAAAAAGAACAAATGTTTTAAATAATGACAAGATTGTGTTGTAATGATTAAGATGACATGGTCAGAAATAAAAGAGGAAGTTAAATTAAAAAGCAAAAATAAAAAGGTGAGAGTTAAGAGAACAGAAATTTAAGGATCCAAATAACCCTCAAATAGAAGCAAAGATATAAAACAAGTTAATTTTTTTTTAAAGGTTGAGTCATCATTGTAAAATGTTAAGAAACTTAAGGTTAATACTGCAGTTAGGCCTCACAAAGAAAGTTTAAACTTAGAATAAATGAATTTAGAATTTATGTTTATTAAAAATAAACGTAGAGAAGGAGGTAGGGAGAGCCTCAAATGTGAGAGTCAGAACTGGAGATTCGGGGAATCGAATCCGCAAATCAGCAAAATCAGCTTTGACGGGATTTAGTGTATATAGTGCGCCCTCTGGTGGTTAACTTGAAGAATCACTTTCTTTATCTCCCATCCCACTCTTTTAAATTTAGCTTGTTTTTCCTGATTTTTGGTTAACAAAATATCATTTTATTTAGTAGGATTACTTGAAAGAGGTTACCTTCCAAGTAATGTCTCAAAAATGAGGAAAAATTATGAAGTAATTCCTCAAACTGAGGTGAAAATACCATAATCAGAAGCAGAAAAAAATATTTCCCTCTGACATCCTTCATTCAGTCTTCAATTGCTAATATTTTGCAACATTTTAAATATCGTTATTTCTCTGTAGATCTAAAATAAAAGTAGCTAGAATTCTTTTCTGAATCATTTCAGGTAATCATTTTTGAGATAAACTGATTGGTAATTTGAAGACACCTGATAATATTCAGCAAACTTCTCAAAATGTTGTAATTATTAATGCAAAAATCATAAACTAATATGTAATTCT